TAGATTAATGTTTTGCAATACATTTGGAAAGCTTTTAGCCATCATTTCTTCAAGTATTTTTTCTGCTCCTTTCCCTCTCCCGTCCTTCTGGTACTCCCATTATGTCTATGTTGGTGTGCTTGATGGTGTTCCATGTTTCTCTGAGGCTTCTTCATTTTTCTTCGTTCTTTTTTCTCTCTGTTCCTCAGCTTGCATAATCTCTTTGATCTCTCTTCAAGTTTACTAATTCTTCTGACATTTCAAATCTGTAGAGCCCATCTAGTAAGTTTTTCATTTCAGTTTTTGTACTTTTCAACTCCGTAACTTCTATTTGGTTCTTTTTTTATAAATTCTGTCTGTTTATTGATATTCTGTATTTGATGTGAGATTGTCATGATACCTTCCTTTACTTCTTTTTTTTTTTTTTTTAAAGATTGGCATCTGAGCTAACAACTGCTGCCAAGCTTTTTTTTTTTTCCCCTGCTTTATCTCTCCAAATCCCCCCCAGTACATAGTTGCATATCCTAGTTGCAGGTCCTTCTAGTTGTGGCATGTGGGACGCCACCTCAACGTGGCCTGATGAGCAGTGCCATGTCCACGCCCAGGATCTGAACTGGTGAAACCCTGGGCTGCTGCAGTGGAGCATGCAAACTTAACCACTCAGCCACAGAGCTGGCCCCCTTCCTTAACTTCTTTAATTATGGTTTCCTTTAGTTCTTTGAACATAATTTTAATGGCTATTTTGAAGTCTTTGTTAAATCCAACATCTGGTCATTCTCACAGGCAGGTTCTTTTGCTTTTTGTTTGTTTTGGTGTATGTGTCATACTTTCCTGTTTGTTTGCATGTATCATAATTTTTTGTTGTAACTGGATATTTTAGATATTTTATTTTATTTTTTTAATTTATTTTTTGAGGAAGATTAGCCCTGAGCTAACGTCTGCCGCCAATCCTCCTCTTTTTGCTGAGGAAGACTGGCCCTGAGCTAACATCCGTGCCCATCTTCCTCTGCTTTTATGTGTGGGACATCTGCCACAGCATGGCTTGCCAAGTGGTGCCATGTCTGCACCCGGAATCCAAACTGGCCAACTCTGGGCTGCCGAAGCAGAACGTGTAAACTTAACCACTGTGCCACAGGGCCAGCCCCTTTTAGATATTTTAGTATAGATAATATATTGTAGCAACTCTGTGTACTGATCCCCACTTTCTCTTTGGCTTGTTACTGTTATATGGCCGTTGGTTTAGTTACTGGCTAGATGGTTTCAGTGAAGGCTGTTTTCCCCACAGTAGTGTTAAACTTCTGACATTGCACCACGTGGACTGAAGCCTTGGCAGGGCTCTTTGCCTCTTTCCCTGGCCATACCCAGCTGTTAAGCTCCACTTATTGCTGGTTGATTTTTCTGTTGTTTTCAACAATGACCTGGGGCATAAGTTGCTCTACAGACTAATCCAATCAAATGTGTGCTCCTTTGAAGGGAGAGTTCCCAAGGCTGGTGTTTGAGATTTATTCTGACCCTGGGAAGGCTCTTCCCTGCTCTCTCTTGCCATTTCTCTCCTGAAAACTAGCCAGCCTGCAGTTTAGCCTGTATCTCCAATGAATTGCCAGTTTGTTTTCAGTTGCTTTTCACTACAACCTCCACTGTTTTTGAGAGTGCCCTTGAACTTGAACTTCTCCATGTTCCGTTGCAAATGAAGAAGTCATTTCCATTGGGAGGATATTAGGAGCTATCTGTTTTAAGCCTTGCTGCTTTTCCCAGGCAAAAATCTCGGCACCCTGGCTCTCAATCTGAGGGTGGGGACATGGCAACGTCTCTCTGAATGACACCCCTGTTTTAGCAGCTGAGCATTCAGTGTAGGGAGGCACAGTAACCTCATGGCTTTTCAGCTTGCCTCTCCTGACATGAAACGACCAGCCTACACACCAGGGTAAGAATTACTGGGGTCCCAGTGGTCTCATTGGCACCACGCCACAGGCAGAGCCCATCTCAGGAGTGCCGGCTAGGCAGAGGAAGGGAGCCTCACCTCTTGGCTGTCCTCGCCCACGGCTTAGCCTTATTGACAGATGGCTCAGGGGAGGGTGAGAAGTGCTGATGTCTTTTCCTCCCAAAAAGGGAGTCTTCTGACTGGGAGCTCCAGGGGGAGAGAGCCCTGGGTTCCTGGCTGCAGCAAGTCCAAAGTGGAGGAATCTCCACCTCACTGAGCTGGGAGGGAGGAAGGAAGCATTCGTGGTTCAAATACCACAGATTCCAACCCATTTTTACCTAATGTTCATAGATTTTGTTGAATAGATGTTTCTTCGTTTGCTGCATGCCCTCATGACCGTTTCCAGACACTTTAAAAATTGTTTTAATAGTTTTCACCTGAGATTGGATCCTTACTCTATCAGGCCAGAAGTTAATTCTCGAATGTTTAGATTCAGTGTGAGTTTTGATTTAGTTAGGGTTGAATCTCTCATGTGGTATTTGCTTTCTATTTCTCTCATCTTCCTTTGTTCCCTTTTTCAGCTTTTCTGCTGTATTTCAATTGTTGGTTTATCAGCTGTAACTCTTTATTTTAGTTGTGACTTTAGCATTTATAGTACATATTTTTTAACTTCTCACAGTCTGCCTTTTAGTGATATTATACCACTTCATGTATACTGCAAGAACCTTAAAATAGTATACTTCCATTTCTCCACTCTTGACCTTTGTGTTATCATATATTTTACTTTTACATAATGTTATAAACTCCACACTACAGCGTTCGTTTTGTATTAGCAGTCAATTGTCTTTCAAAGAGATTTAAATAAGGAAAAATATCTATTCCACGTAGTTACTGTTTCTTTGCTTTTCTTTCCTTTGCTGTAGATCCTGATTTTCGTTCGCTATCATTTTTCTTCTGCCTGGAGGACTGCCTTTAACATTTTTGTATTGGAGGTCTGCTGATAATGAATCCTGTTGACTTTTGCATGTTTGAAAAAGTTTATTTCATGTTCATTTGTGTGTGTGTGTGTTTTTGATGAGGAAGATTGGACCTGAGCTAACATCTTATGCCAGTCTTCCTCTTTTTGCTTGAGGAAGATTCACCCTGAGCTAACAACTGTGCCAGCCTTCCTCTCTTTTTCGTATGTGGGATGCTGCTGCAGCATGGCTTGATGAGTGGTGTATAGGTCCGTGTCCAGCATCTGAACCTGCGAAGCCTGGGCCACTGAAGCAGAGCACGCAAACTTAACAACTATGCCACCAGGCCAGCCCCTCACCCTCATTTTTGAAAGATATTTTTTGCTAGGTATAGAATTCTAGGTTGGAAGGTTTCTTTCTTTGAATACTTTAAAGATGCTGCTTCACTGTCTTTTTTCTTCTGTTGTTTCCAACAAGAAATATCCTATTGTTCTTAACTTTGTTCCTCTGTAAGTAATGGGTCTTTTTTTCCGTTTCTGGCTGGGAAAAGAACCCCGTGACAGCATTAGAGGCAATGGCACCTGGCATTTTCAAAGGGCTGAAATAGTGCCTGTTCCCAACAGAGGACTGACCTCAGCAATGAAAACCTCAGAACTGATGGGGCGTTGGCTGGGTGCTCAGAAGAGCCTGGCCTCAGGAGTTTAGCCCCCTAAAAGAATCTTCTTTTAAGATTCTCTCTTTATTTCTGATTTTAAGCAATTTTGATTATGATGGGAATTGGTATAATTTTTTTCTTTCATATTTCTTGTTCCTCGGGTTTTTTGAACTTCTTGAATCACTGGGTCTCAGATTTAAATCTCAAATTTGGAAACATTTCAGCCGTTATTTCTTTCAATATTTTTTTCTTCCCTTCCTTCCTTTTTGAACTCCAATTACACACGTATTAGGTTGCTTGAAGTCATTCCACAACTCACTGATGATCTGTTAGTATTTTTATCCTCTTTTCTGTTTCATTTTCTGCAGTTCCTATTGCTGTCTTTGAATTCACTATTCTTTTTGTTTGCAATGTCTAATCTATCGTTACCAATGTGTTTTTCATCTCACATATTGTAATTTTCATGTCTAGAAGTTTGATTAGAGTCTTTTTTTAACATCTCCCATGTTTCCACATAACTTTTGAACGTGTGAATTATGATTATAATGACTATTTAATGTCCTCATCTGCTAATTCTGACATCTTTGTCGGTTCTGTCGTTTTCAATTGATTGCTTTATCTCCTCTGGCTAGGTTATATTCTTGCTTCTTTCCAGAGCTGTTAATTTTCTATTGGATCTCACACATTGTGAAATTCACCTTGTTTGATGCTGGATATTTTTGTATTCTTATAAATATTTTGGAGATTTATTCTAGGATGCTGTTAAGTTACTTGGAAACAATTTGATCCTTTTTGGGTCTTGCTTTTAAGATTTGTTATGCAGAATTGGAGCAGGGTTCAGTCTGGAGCTAGTTATTGCCCACTCCTGAGGCCAGACTCTTCTGCGTACCCTACCGATGCCTCGTCAGTTCTGAGCTGCTTCTACTCTTGCTTTGGGAACAGGCACTATTTCTGCCCTTTGCGAATGCCAGGTGCCATTCCCCCTACTCCTTTCAGGGGTTCTTTTCCCAGCTTTGGGTAATTTCCTCACACACATGGCCAGTCACTACTCAGCTGTGTGCTTACAGAGGACCCTCTGAAGATCTGCGGAGTTCTCCCTCTGTGTATTTCTCTCTTCTTTGCTACCCTGTCCTGCAGACTCTAGCTGTCTTGCTTCCCTGGACTGTGCTCTGTCTCTTCAACTCAGGGAGTCCACAGGCTTTGTCTGGATTCCCACGCCCTGCATCATGACCTGGGAGCTCTCTCGAGGCCATGAGCTGGGACAATTGTAGGGTTCACCCTACAAATTCTTACTTCTCAGGGATCACTGTACTTTGTTGCCTGATGTTTGGTGGCTTCCAAACCATTGTTTTGTATATTTTGTCTGTTTTTCGGTTGTGTTGGGTGGTAGGATATGTCTGGTCCCTGTTAATTCATCATGGTCAGAAGCAGAAGTTTACACATTTCAGCTGTTTTTTAATCTTAATTTTTGTTTTATTTTTTACTTCAGGAGACTACCCACAAAGCCAGTGTTCTGTTGAGTGGTAAAATTAAGGTAGAAAATGGTCAGATTTATCAAAGTCCAGTCACCTGGCTCAAGGATGTTCTAGGAGGTGAAAGTTATGTGACCTGGAATTATGCTTGGAGTAAGGTGGGTCATTCTTAAGTTTACCTTTAACTTCATATTCAAATGGAAAGGTACATGCTTTTGGATGATAAAACGGTTTTCTTTTTGTTCTTTAAGAAATCTGAAAGTTCTTCGAGTAAGTTTTTGTCCTCCTGTGTCCCTTCTGCAACATGCTACAAGCTTCTCCCACAACTCCTGTTTGCCAGACTTTCCCAGGAGCAGGGGGGCACAGCTGACTGAGCCTCTGCTTCCTTGTCCTCCCCTAGTCTCAGAAATCTGAATGCCCCCGTCTGCCCCTGTCCTCCCTCTAAGCGATTTCAGGTCTTTGTGACTCCGCCTTAGGAAATTTGGGACCGCTGGTATATTGATAATTTAGTTAAAGTGTTATTGGTATTTGACGAAATAAAGCAAAATCTTCCTCTTAAGACAAAAGGAATGAGCGAGGGGCCTAAGACCCACAGAAGTTACGGTGCACTTTTATGTTTGAGTGTGGTCTTATCTGTGAGTTGCTAGCCCCCCCAAAAGAAATACTTCCTTTCATTCAGACTTCCCAGACTTAGCAGTCTCCCCCTCAGTTCTGTCTTCTGAGTTAAAAGCCCAGTTTAACCATCCGTTTGAAGACCGTAATGACTGACACCCTTGCTCACAGACCAGTGACCAGTCACCCCCAGGTGTCTGTGGCACCACTTCAGGGAACAGACTTACATGACTCTCCCAGGAAAGGTGAATCATCAGATGTCCACCATTACTGTTTCACAGAATTGCAGAGGCCTTCAGCTGCCACCGCCCATTACAGTAAGCCTCAGAGCACCGAGCAGAGGAGGCACAGTTTCCTCGCGCCTTGTTTGCCCAGCTCAGCTCTGCCCACCCTCCCTCCTAGGTCTGCGTCCCTAAATTCTGCATTCTGGTCTCCTAGACCTTTGTGGCAGGTACTTCCAGAACTGTGTTTCCTTTCTTTCACTTATATCAACACATTTTGGATTTTCTCTGTTTTATATCTCTCTGTCCTTTTTTTCCCCCCTTAAGTTGTTTTTTTTTTTTTTTTTGATTTCCCACCCCTGGAGTCCCTAGGCCATCTGCTTTCAATTCACCCTGCTCAGTCCTTTCCATGGATTCATAAATCGTATTTGCGTGTTAGTAACTAACATTTTACCCATGGAAATCCCTTTTTATTACAAAGTGTCTTAAACTTATGATAGATTATATCATTTTGCTGAAACTGAATCTGTGCTCACATCATGAATATGGTATTGACTGCTGTACTTAAGGCTATCCTGAGCTCCACATGCCTCTGCTACAGCGTGCCCAGGGTTGACTCAATTCGCCCACTCGTTTCTCTATTGGAACTACCGCATTTACCTTTGAATAGCTGGCTGTGACATCATTTGGCCCTCACTCTGTGCTTGTGCCTCATCTGCGTATCACGTATCACGTTTCTGCTGGTCTTTTCTCGTTAGCCGTGCCAGTTAGAGTCATATTGTGTAACACCCATGTGATAGTGAAGCCAAATGCAAACTTTGGCACTAAAATTAGGGCAATTCTTGGATATAAGCTATTCATACAGATTATCTGATCAATCTTAGATTTTTTTTCAATTATCTTAAAAACAGAATTTTAACAGTTTTGAAAATTGCTATAGGGCACTCATGTACTTCTAGTAAATACCCAAAGCTGAGAAACACTACCCCAGTAAGTTCCATTACAATATTTAAAAGCCTCTTTTAAAATTTACCACAGAAACCTCTGCGTCCTCTTGTTTTGGGGTAACTCCTGAATTCACAGTCACTTCTTGATGAAAGGAGCTTTTTCTGCATTGGTAAATGTAAACATTTCTACTGACTAGTTCTGAGAGTGGTGGTAGGACAATGGGGCCAGGAGTGGTTGGTCGTCAGCCAAGTAATGCCAGAAAACTAGGGCTTGTCCTATGTCAGACAGGATGACAGAACCGCTGCACACAGAGATGACTCATCCTTCCTACCCAAGCAGCTGGGCTGCTGTGCAGCCTTGCCAAGGGCATCCTGATGCTCCCTCCCACCGTCGTCACTGATTCCACTCACTGCTGCAGTCTCCCAGCTGTTAGGCTTCATCCTGATGTGGCCGAGTGATCTCCGGGTGGGAGACAGGGGACCAAGCTAGTTCCTGGTTCCACTCTTGAGTTATGCGATCTGGGCAATGGTTTTCAATCTTGCTTACACATTAGAATCACTTGGGGAGCTTTTAAAAATTACAGATGCCTAGTGGGCCGCAGCCCCGGAGGGCCTGGCTTGGAGACTAGGTGGCAGTGTTTTTAAAAGCTCTCCAGGTGACTCTAATTTGCATCCTGGCTTGAGAATCACTGAGCTGGGTCAAGTTGTTTAACCTTTCTGAACCTCAGTTTTCTTATGTATAAAATAAGTAGTATTGCTAAATGGTCTCAAAAGACCCTTCCAACTTGGAGAATCTAGATTGTAAACCTGCGTGGTTTATAAAGCAGTTTTATGTATATTCTTTCACAACAACCCCATGAGGTAAGAAGGTCAAGTATTATCTCTATTTATGCACATGAAAACAGGATTGCAGAGGGTTAAGTGACCTGATTAGCCTAAGGCCAGTAAATGCCAGTACCAGGACTAGAACCTGATTCCCTGTACACTGCTTTCCACATTTACAACAGTGGCACAAGGGAGGCTCACATTCCTTCCACTGGAAACAGGTTGTCCCAACTCAAAATAGCACCAAGTATCATCCAGCTGCCTTCATGCATTTATACAAAGCGTCATTCTTGTACAGCAAAAATTACCCACTTCCACAGGAAAAAATGCCTTTCTGTGATACAGTTGCAGTATGAAAATCATAAGAATGGCAATGACAGTTCATTTTTGTGAATGCAGAGGACTGGATTTATGCAGATGAAAAGTAGACTGCCATTTTGGACAGTGACTCAAGGAGCACTGACAGATCTCTCATGCAAACACGCTTCCCATCTGGATGCCTTACTGTCTGAATTTCCACACTTATAAATTCGCTCCTTTGAATTTAGTATTGACTTTTCCCTATGGTCCCCCCCTCACCCTACACACTTTCTAAAAAAAATTCCTCCCACCACTATGATTACGAATATCAAGATATGGGAAGGTTGAGGTAGGAGTATAGGAACTGATGGGAATTATTGATCTGGACAAACAGCAAGCCTCATTCAATCAAATAATCACACTCTCAACGTGTCTGAAACCTCTTGTGAGCCCAGTTCTACTCAGGAAGACATGGTTGGAGATGTGGGCCCTTTTAAAATACAAATATGCAAGAGTTGGAAATCCTGAAGACGGAATAGTGTGAAAGGCCTGCTGCCCTTCCCTTTCCTCTGGCTGCATGGAGGGTCTGGGGAGTGAAGGAGGAGGGGCTCGAGGGCGGGGATTGGGACGAGGTGGGTCAGGCGAAGGTGGATTTCACTTGCATCTTTATTTCCCCAGGATCAGCTCTTTCAAGGCAGTTTTTATACTTTGTTACTACTTTCTGTCTTGCTTTCTGAATTCCAAGGGAAATATTTCATTTGAGAATTTTTTTTTTTTAGCCAAAATGTGTTTTTGTGTTACAGTTAACATAAAAGAAAACGTAGTTTTCTTTTATTTCTTTGCCTTTTTCCACCCCTGAGATCAAAAACAATTCTTCTTTCCTCTTTCTTCCTCTTGGGGTGGTGAAAATTTGTTGAGACTTGCTTCTTAGAGCTAGAAATGGAATTAAACAGCCATTTGATCATCCATGAACAGATTCCCATTAGTCAATACCAACAAATGGTTTTTCTGAAGACATACGACAAATGGATTGATACTTTCAAATAAAATGGAGCCCTAGAAGGAATACAAATTCTTGGACACCTCTTTAATATTCAAAGGCAGGTTATGTTTTATATTTTTTCTTGATGCATATTAGTACATAGAGTATAGAGAAACCTTTGTTACTGCAATTAATGACAATTCATACTGTACCTTATTTCTTCAGATAACTTATGAAATAAAGTTAATTGATCATTTCAGTTAGCTCATTAACTACATTTCCAGAATAGTGGCTGGCTGAATCATCCGTCTACCCAAAACACACACCCACACACACCCCACACACACCACTTCTTCCCTAAGCATGATACTGGGGAATCAGCATAGACTGATTTCTGAGGAATAATGTGTTGTAAGAGCTTCAGGGGACGCATCGGTGGCCTTAGGGTGAAGCACCCGTGCCATTCTGCCCGTTAGAAAGCAAGGACACAGAGACCTACAGATCCCTCACCTGTAGCTCCGACTCTTACTCGTTCTCCTCTGGGGAAGGCGGCACCCCATCAGCTGCCTTTCATCAGAGAAGGGGTTTGGGTGGTGGAGTTGCTGGGATCCCTGTAGGCTGTGTCAGCCAAGACCCTAAGAAGCTAGCTACAGCTCTTCCTGCATGCATCTGTCAGAGCCTAGCGGCTGAGCTAGATTTGGATCCAGTGAGATTTAATTCAGGATGCAGAGCTGGAGTCACAGGTAAGTGTGACGGCTGTTTGCTCTCATGCTTTAGCCGACTGGAACACAGACACTGTTATGAAGTGGACACGGACGGTTTCCAGAAGTGACCTAGTGCCTGTTCATTATTATCCTTGTTCAATAAGTCACTCCTACCTTGTGGAAAATAGATTTTTAACTCAGTGGATTTTCTTAAAACTGTGTTCTTTGTATGTCTGAATTACCCCCTAGTGGTATGTGTAAGACCTATGGGGACTCATGACCGCTAAGGCTACTAAGGTACAATTTAACACCTTGTATTACCCAGCAGTAACTGATAAAAGTGTACTTTAAATCTGACATGTAGGTAAAAACATGCTGAGCCTGCATGTTGATGAGTGTGCAAGGTGTGTGGGATATTGTCAGAGCATAATATGAACAGAATCCATTGTTGCTAACTGTTAGTTGATTAGAGCACGGACAGATGGCATTTCGGGGCCTTGCTTCTCCTTCTTCCATGGCCAGGGAGGATTGCTTAGCACACGGAGCATTCCAGGTCTGTGCTATTTCTAGTCCCAGGTTTTGTTTGGTCATGGGATTGAGCCCAAAGGGTCCCACACCTTCCAGATCCCCTGGGCCTTCCTCAGCCTGTCCAGTAACAAGCAGTTATTGAGCACTCAGGATGTGCTAGACAGTATGCCAGATCCTCTTCACATCTTATCTCTTTTAATCCTCACAACAACTCAGTAAGCTGGAGGTACTTGTTTTACAAATGCACAAACTGAGACTTGGAGAATTTAAGGATCTTGCTTAAGAGCAGGGACTTCAAAGTTTTTTCCCCAGCATTGTCAGGCACCGGTGAAGTACTGGGGCCAGCCCGGTGGCGCAGCAATGAAGTTTGCACATTCTGCTTCGGCAGCCTGGGGTTTGCCGGTTTGGATCCCAGGTGTGGACCTACACACTGCTTGTCAAGCCATGCTGTGGCAGGTGTCCCACATATAAAGTAGAAGAAGATGGACATGGATGTTAGCTCAGGGCCAGTCTTCCTCAGCAAAAAGAGGAGGATTGGTGGCCGAGGTTAGCTCAGGGCTAATCTTCCTCAAAATAAATAAATAAATAAATAAAATGTGATACAGATCCTGTTTTCAAGGAGCTTATAGTTTAATGGAAACAGGCACATTAACACATAATTTCATTTAAATAGGACAAATGCCTTGAAATATGAGCACAGAAGTTATGGGAACCTAGAGGAGCATCATTACTTGAGCTTAGAGGTCATAGAAAGGCATCCTGGAGAAAGGGATGTTCAAGGTGAGAAGTGTAGCTGCAGTGAACCTAGCTTCTGGGATCTTTTATGAGATCGCCCTAGAACTAAGAGTGGAGGGGCTGGCCTGGTGGCGCAGCAGTTAGGTTTGCACGTTTCACTTCGACGGCCTGAGGTTCGCCGGTTTGGATCCTGGGTGCGGACATGGCACTGCTTGACAAGCCATGCTGTGGTAGGCTTCGCACGTATAAAGTAGAGGAAGATGGGCACGGATGTTAGCTGAGGGCCAGTCTTCCTCAGCAAAAAGAGGAGGATTGGCAGCAGTTAGCTCAGGGCTAATCTTCCTCAAAAAAAAAAAAAAAAAGTGGAGAACCCAAAGGCCTTCAGGCCCAGAACATTTCTTTCTTTTTTTTTTCTTTATATTGTCAGGCTTTTTTTTTTTTTTTTACTATCTTTTTTTTTATTGAGTTATTGATAGGTTACAATCTTGTGAAATTTCAATTGTACATTAATGTTTGTCAGTCATGTTGTAGGTGCACCACTTCACCCTTTGTGCCCACCCCCCCAACCCACCTTTCCCCTGGTATCCACTAAACTGTTCTTAGTCCATAATTTTAAATTCCTCATATGAGTGGAGTCCAGGCCCAGAACATTTCTTACAGGTGTTTGCCAGTCTGCCATAGCCCGGCCCTGTCATGTGTAGCTATTTCTAAGCTGTGTCCTTTTGGGCTAATAAACAATAGCTAAGTTCACAAATAAATCAAAAAGCCCAGAAAACTTGGAAGCATAGACCTGAGATATTATTAATCTAATCAGTTAAGTATCTGATTTTTTTGGAAAGAACCATTACTTTTATGTCTTAATTTTATTAATGCAACATTAATTTTCTTTAAGTTATAAGGTAGCAAGTGCTGGATTAATGGTTGTTGAATAAGTAAATGGATGAGAGAGTTAATGATATACAACACGGGTCAACAAATTTTTTCTGTAAAGGGCCAGAAAATAAATACTTCAGGCTTTATAAGCAAATGGTCTCTGTTGCAACTACTCAATCTTCTTGTAGCACAAAAGCAGCCATAGATGTTAACTAAAGGAATGGGTATCACTGTGTTCTAATAAAACTTTTTTTACAAAAAAAGGTGCAGCCCACACTTGGCTCTGGGCTGTTTGCCAATCTGTAATATACAACAATCAATACTTTACCAAAGTTACAACTTGTAAGAGACAGGTGCATTTGCTTCTTATAAAATGTATGATTTTAAATTCTGTGCTTAATCATGTGCAGGTAACATATCTGGGGAAGGAGCTTTTAACGTATATTTCTGAGGAAATACCCATACCTCCACAACCCAATCTGGTATCTCAGCAACATCAGCCTTGTCTTCCAGGTACGTGCAGACCAACACCCATTTCTCAGTTGTGGGAAAAACACACCCAAACGTACTGAGAAAGCGATCCTTTTCTTTTTGTCTTTTTTTTCTTTCATTCAGGTGAAATTCACATAACATTCAGGTAACCATTTTAAAGTGAATAATTCAGTGGCATTTAGTACATTCAGTGTTCTACAACCACCACCCTATGTGGTTTCAAAACACTTGCATCACCCCAAAAAGAAACCTCTTACCCATTCAGTAGTTCCTCCCCATTCCCCACTACCCCCAGTCCCTGGGAACTACCAGTCTGCTTTCTGTCCATATGGATTTGCCTGTTTTGAATATATCATGTAAATGGAATCATACAATATATGGCCCTTTGTTTCTGGCATTTTTCACTTAGCATAATGCTTTCAAGGATCATCCACACTATAACATCTATCAGTACTCCATTCCTTTTTATGGCTAAATAATATTCCATTGTATATATATATCACAATTTGTTTATTTGTTCATCCTTTGGTGGACATTTGGGTTGTTTCCACTTTTTGGCTATTGGGAATAAGTGCTGCTCTGGACATGTGTATACATGTATTTGTTTGGGTACCTATCTTCAGTTCTCTTGGGTATATACCTAGGAGTGGAATTGCTATATCCTATAGCAATTCTATGTTTAGCTTTTTGAGGAACAGCCAAACTGTTTTCCACAGCAGGTGAACCATGTCGCATTCCCACCAGTAATGTGCAAGGATTCCACTTTCTCCACATTCCCACCCACACTTGTTTTCTGTTTGTTTACAGTACTCCATTTTTAACCATAGTTGATTCTAGGAGAATTTAAGAAACGACACCTTCCCTCACAATTCTCTCTGAATATATGCTGTACTTAGATTTGGGTAGATTTTCTTTCTAAGTGTCATAAGGAAAAAATACCATTGATTTGGCATGATTGGGTTCATTTTCCATCTTTTCTAAAAACAGATACCAAAATTCATCTTTGTTTTAGTGTAAACGAGTATGCTTTATCTGATGGAATAAGTCTTAGTCTGAGAAAACTGAAGAGAATGTAGTCTTCACCAGTAAGCAGCAGATTTTGAAATGCTCTGGGAAGAGGCCGCACACATTTCTGAAAGACAGACATAACTGATGTCACGTTACCCTTCTCTGCCACTGCAGCCCCTGTTTTTTTACCCCGGTGTCCCTGTCTCAGAGTAATTGGGGACAGTGTAGGCAGGGAGGAGGTACAAAACAGAAAATGATGATTCTGTGATAAGAGGCAAGAACCAGAGATTACTATCTCCCAGCCCTAACCCAGGGGCTCCCCAGGGTTATTCCTGTCCTTACAACAAACCCCAATAATTCAAAGTACTTTCCTATTCTGACTTTATACTGAATCCACCCTGACCTCTCAGGGTCCTTCTTTTGTCTCAAAAACTGGTTTCAGAATAGGGTGCATTTTCCCCAGTTTTCTGAAGACAGCCTCGAAAGTGCTTTTCATCATTTTGGGGAAACAGATCAGGTAAAACAACAATTGAGGGGAAGTTAAAGGGATCAAGAAATTGGAAAGAGTTCTCGTAGTAACTCCTGGTCTTTAGTTCCTGGCCGTCACTGCAGGTCTACCTAATTCACTCTTGGAGTAGGGCCCAGGAACCTGAATTTGTAAAAGTGATCCTTATGCAGCTAGGCCGACTAGAGATTTTGAATGACAGGGGTATCTCATTTCTCATGCAGATAATAATTTGAAAACTCTTCCGCCCCTCACTTTGATTCCGAAGAGCACCACTCTCACGCGCGTGTGTGTGCCCCCCCCCCCACACACACACACACTTGGAAGAAAGCCGCGCAAATCCTTTTTCCTCCTCGTTTCTAACCTCAAGAGTCAAAGCAGAAATATAAGTTCTTTCTTACATCACAAAGGTGGCCCGCTGCTCTCCCCTAGTTCTCGGTAGGCATGTCCAACCCAGCCCTGCACCTCCCTCCTCAGAGGGCTCGCAGTTCTCTGCTAGGTGAGCGCGACATAAAAATGGGTTCTGAACTACTTCTGTTGCCTTCAATATAAAGTTTCTTGTTACTAATTTCTTTCCAGAAATCCTGAGTTTTCTTTCCTTTAGATATTTCAGAAAATGTGAGTGCTAATTTGAGAACTGTGGAGGTTGCCAGTCTGCCAGCCAGCTGCTTGTTACCTTGATCTTGCCTCGGAATCCACAGGCAGGGCCCTGCAGGCGTCTTACAGGCTGCTCTTGGAGTTCTGTTTGAACCTCCTTAATTTAGGATTCTTTTGTACCTGGCTTTGTGGTATCTGACAGAAATCCTAAGACCTGGCAAGTTAGAAAAATGTAAACTCTCTAACTCTGTTACGAGGAAAGTGCTCAGGAGAGAAACTTTTTCCCTCTGCTGCATATCAAAATGCGGTCATGGAAGGCATGACTCTTGACACTGCAGAGACAGGAACAGGAAAACAAGTCCCTGTGGAGATCATCAGCCTGCTTCAGATCACCAGCGTAATCCGTCCACCAAGGCTTTTTGATGATCGTGCTCTTCGGCATAGTGTTTTTTGGGAGTCAGGGAAAGTAGGAAGAGCTGTTTACGTCTTTCGTAACTAGCATGGCGGTGCGTCTGGTGTGCCCAGGGCAGTCCCTGACCCAGCAAAGCTGTTAGTAGCACTCCCTTCCACTTGCAGACATGCCATAGTTAGATGACCACTATGGGAACCAAGCAGGCAGGTGTTGGAAAAAATGAAATTTGGACAAGGTTAAAAAAAAAAAGAGAAACTTTTTAGTTCCATTTACTTTTGTAAGAAGTGAATAGATTCTAACATACTATTGTGCAAATAGATGGTCAAATCTTATGTGTATCACTCTATATTACAAGTAATTGCTCGCTACCTAATCCCCTGATAGACTGAGAAAATCTCTGAGTTTAGAGAGGCTATTATGGGCTGTTCCTTCCTTTTATTTTCCCCAGTGGCTGGCACACAGTAGCTTCCCAGTAAATGTTCACTGAATAATGTTCATCAGATAAATGAATGAGTGGATGGAAGCATGAATATAATCCAAAGGACTGCTATTTTAAAACTAAATTTACTTGTGATTGTCTTTTTTTTGAGGAAGATTGGCCCTGAGCTAACATCTGTTGCCAATCTTCCTCTTTTTTTTCCCTCTCCAAAGCCCCAAGACATAGTCGTATATCCTAGTTGTAAGTCCTTCTAGTTCTATGTGGGATGCCACCACAGCATGGCTTGATGACAGTGTGTAGGTCTGCGC